CAGAGAACTAGCAAACCTGATCCAGGAGAGAAATTACTGTATCCTGTCAACCTGCGCTCCAACTGGCCCACTGATGACTCCGAAATTCCGGATCTCCCTAGATCTTTTCATCACCGAAGGCATCTCCCCAGCATACATGCACACAAAAGCTAGCTATGATCTCTCTTCTGATCACTTGCCTATACTAGCAACAATCAGCAGCCTCATCATCCACAGAAACCTCCGATTGGGCTACATAACAAAAGAACTAATTGGGAACATTATCGCACCGAAATTGAAGAAAACATAAACCTAAAAGTAAGCATCCAATTCCCAACGGAAGTGGATAATGCTCTAACAAACTTAACAGCTACTCTCACAAAGGCCGCTGAACAGGCAACCCCTAACTGCAAACCCATAATCAAGTCTCAAATATCATCTCAATCGAGATAAACAAACTAACAGCAGTCAAAAGAAAAGCAAGAGTCAAATGGCACCGAACACACACACCGCAAGACAAAACAGCTCTAAATAGAGCAACTAATCAGTTAAAAATTAAAATCAAAGAAGGAATAGAGCATTTCACGATTATATCATCAGTCTTAGTAGATTTGACAACACAATCTGAAAACCAATCAAACATAAAAAAAAACCTAAACATCAAGTACCCCCAATAAGTGATGAAACGGCACCCAACCCAAAATGGGCCAGAAGCGACGAGGAAAAGACAATGCTTTTCGCTCAGTGTCTTGCAAAGGTATTTACACCAAACGAATCTGAAATAGATCCTGAAGTAGAAGAACAATTGACAGATATCCCTGCGAATATACCGGGAATTAAAAAATCATCACAAGGGAAGTACAAAGAGAAATAAACCACCTAAAACTACGTAAAGCTCCAGGTATAGACCAAATTGCCCCCAAAATACTAAAAGAATTGCCGCAAAAAGCCGTACTGATAATTACTATCATCATCAATGCCATCTTTAGAATAAACTACTGAAATAGCCCTAATACACAAACCAGGCAAAGACCCAAGCAAAGTTGATTCATACCGACCTATAAGCTTACTCTCAGTTATTGCCAAGCTCCTCGAAAAACTCCTGATTCAAAGAATAAACAACGATCCCCACACAGAAGATTGGTTACAACGACATCAGTTTGGCTTTAGAGAACAACATTCAACTGTACAGCAAACACACAGAGTAGCCTATACCATAAACCAAGCACCCGATCGTAAAGAATACTGTACCTCCGTATTCCTAGGTATAAAGCAGGCCTTCGATAAAGTCTGGCACAGAGGACTATTATATAAAATTTAATAGAATCTTCCCATCACTTATTTCAAATTGATGAAGTCCTATATCAACGACAGGGAATCCAGCGTAAGAATCAATCAAGCAACATTTTTTAACTTTACTATAAACTCTGGGGTACCGCAAGGCAGTGTAGTAGGACCACTATTATACCTTCTCTATACGGCGGACCTACCAACTGATCAAAACACCACCACAGGAACCTTCGCAGATGATACAGTCATCCTAGCAACCCATGCAGATCCAGCAAAGGCCACCAGTATCCTACAGAACCAATTAAACCAAATACAAGCATGGCTATACAAATGGAAAATTAAAATAAACGAGACTAAAACTATCCAAGTGAACTTCACGCCCACAAGTAAGACTGAATAATAACAATATCCCACAGTCTCCAAGCGTTAAATCTCGGAATCCATTTGGATAGTAGACTCACTTGGAAGGACCACGTAATCAAAAAACGCGAACAGACTTAAAAACCAAGGAGCTAAACTGGTTAATTGGAAGAAGATCCAACCTATCCAAAGAAAACAAAGTCCTGCTTTATAAGACAATAATCAAACCAATCTGGGCTTACGGAATCGTGCTCTGGGGTTGCGCTAGCAAATCAAATATAACAATAATCCAGAGAAGCCAGCCAAAAATACGAATTATAACAAATGCATCCTGGTATGTAAACAACCAAACGTTACATGCAGATCTAAATATACCATACATCAAAGACGTCATCAGAGAAAAATGTACCACACACCACAACAAACTAGCAAATCACCCAAATGACCAAACGACATACTACAGCCACTCGTTGAACTGCAGCAAAATCGAAGACTCCGAAGATACTGGCCAGCTAACTTAAAAGAAAACTAAGAGGAACCTCCCACTGGGGAAGGGACTCATCACGTCATTAAAGAGCACCACAGCTCTTACGCCAGCAAACTAACTTATAGAATTGCACATTCTTATTGCTTCATAAATAAATAAAAAAAAACAGACGAAATGATTCCATATGAAATTTTACCTCGCTTAGTTTCTGGACTTGGGCTTAGGCATAACATTGAATACCTGCATTATATCAGGCCCAAGTTAAAAAGAAAAATTCAGTTTTATCCGTATGAAATGTATTGTACGTTCGTAACAGTGTCCTTCATCGTGACCTTGGGATCGAGACGGTTACAGATATCATCGCTAAGTCCGCCACCTCTCAAGAAAAGAGACTCCAAACCATATCAACATTGAAGCGTCCAGGCTTCTCAACGTGAACAATAACATTAGACGACTCAAACGGAAGAAACCGTTCGAACTAGTTAAGTGTTAAAGTACTAAGTAATTCAGTGGAAGTGACTTAGTTTTAATTTACATATTTTGACGTGTTGCGCTATGCATGACACCCCTCCCCCGCCAGCGGTGACGTGACCAAGGGATGCCTCGGTTGCTATGCAGCCGTAAACAACTCCCGACAGCGTTGCTAGCAACACGGCGCCAGACAACAGTGGTGCCTATTACGTGACTGTTTTCTGCGTTGTCCGGAACGGGGCTAAATAAGGAGCAGCGAAGACTATTCAAGTTAGTTACGAGTTCTCAAGGACAGTAGGAGTTGGTCACGAGTTAACCAGGATGTCAACCAGTCAATTTCAGTCTAGTATTTGTGATACTGCCGATGGCAGTAATTTTGAGATTGTAATTTGGGTGATTGTAAGAGCGAGTGTTCAATAAAATTCGCTATATCCAATACGGCGTGAAGTTATTTGTCGCCTTATACACCTATACACCCAACACGTGATAATATATTAGGTTTAGAAAAATTAATCGTTAGTTATCCAACTAGTTTTAATTGTAATTAAGTTCTGGGTTACCCAGTCCTTAATTAATAAATAAAAAAAATCCGTATGAAAGCTTAGGTGAGGTGGTATTTTGTAATCCTGTCTTTCGGTTTCTCCTTGTTCTGCATCACCTTCTCTTTCTTCTACATATGCTCTCCTCCTTCTTTTCAGCTTTTTCTTCTCTTGCTCCGTCCTCCCTTCATCCTTCTCAATTGCCTCCTTTTCTTTATCTGATGGGAATTTTTCTCTCACTCCTCCATCTCATACTTATCCTTTATTTCTCTCCCCGCCTTAATTTTCTTACGTGTTTCTTCTCCCTCGCATTCTTCTTCTCTTCTTCCTCTGTCACCTTCTTCAGTGTCCCGACCTGCACAGTTTTGTGTTCTGAATCTAAAATGGTTAGTGTTTTCCCTGTTCATATAAAAAGGTATAGGTATCCCTTTACTTTTTTACTTACTATCCCTGCAACAGACCGTGAAGGCCCACAGGGTTGTGAGACGTCGAGACTCCCACATTTTATAGACAGTCGGCTCACAGATGGTGGTGAGGTTCTCAGCCTTACACGCCTGCCGCTCTTTACCCCAGGAAGATTCCTGGTACTCATTTCTGATAGAGGCTGAGTCGACCCAGGTCCACAGTGCGGCTGGAAGGATTAGGTCAATTGAACAACCCAGGGATCTCCTTGGGTTTCGAACCTGCGACTTTCCTGCTTGTACCATAATGCCTCAACCAACTACGCTACTGCGGTCCCTTCCTGTTCATGTGGAATCCAATATTTTGTATGGCCTGCAGTCAGATCCTCAGTTAATATTGTTCATACTCTGTATTAGTACTCTAGTCTTTGCTCTGAGTGCAGACAGTTGTCGAATTATTGGGAGATTCCTCTGTTCATCCGCATTTTTCAACTTAAATTGAGGTGTCATTCAGGAACCTAAGATTTGAAATCAATAAGTTTGTTCCATCTATATTCTTATCTACTTACTGTCAATAATAATCTCAAGATCTGTGTTGCCTCAAAATATATTTACATCAGAAGGGCCTTAGTCCTTACCAAACCCCAGTCTCAAGATGTGAAGTCACACTGGCAGTCCAGGCCGTGCTATTGAAGCCGATAATGTTTCGATATCATCGAAATACACAGTATCATTTTCAGGCCATGCTCCCTGTGTCTGCGAAACTGTCCAGACGAACTAATGCTTGGACCTTAGCGGATTATTGGCATTCTGACATCTGGTCCAGGTTTCTCTTCACCTTGTGGATCAATATGACTAAGAACAGCACATTCACAGCATCGCGACGCCCAAGTTTATCGAACAAAGAAACCTCCGCGCGCGCCGTGTCCCGCTTGATTGATTATTGGGGAACTTCAGTGCACTCTTTAAAGTAACTAACTTCCTTGTACAGTATCCCCTTCAGGAGATGATAATTCTTAGGCTGGTGAAGAAATGTCCTACTGTATATAGCCCAAAATTGATCAGCATAAGCAGAGAATCCGCCATTAGACACATTCTATACTTTTACTATTTGTTTCTGCAAGATTCAATCCAATGCTAGCTCCTATACATGCCTAGTTTCTCCTGGCACTGTTTCCCTATAAATATTATATATAGGCTAGTGTAACACCGTTGAAGTTTCAACGGAAAGTCTCATAATTTGTTATATAATCTTTCGTGCTATTAATTTCCCCTGGCTTCTCTCATATTTCTTTCTCTTCCTATGTGCTGTCGAATGATAAGTCTAGACCGACGTTAAGCGCCATCTCACACAAATAACATGCACCAAAACTCAATTGTAAACCGCCTTCTTTACACATTATTAGAATTTAGAAGAAATTCTGCCTTCAAAGGGCTGCTTATGATCATCTTTCCTTGTGGTTTGATTTACAGAGGAGTGCAGCGCCGATCGATGCAGCAAGGTTCCCTGTCAACATGGGGGCAAGTGCCTCACCTCTGGAGAAACAGCAGTGTGCCTATGCCCCCTCGGCTTCGCAGGGGATCTGTGTGAGACGAGGGTCGATCTGCAGGTAAGATGTCCTGTAATCCTGACGGCTAGAAACATCAAAGCTAAAACTTCTCTTAGGCCTCATTTGACATGCTCGATCGTTGGATTACGCAAACGTCGAATGTACGTGTAAATCTGGACGTACATTTCGGGCTTTTCACAACACAAAGACGAAGCAAGAGACTTTATTACGAGGCAAATAACGACGACTCGGCTACTTTTTAGCATTGATGGGCCCATATCCAGGACCATCATGACTCTAGCCTTACTAACAAGGACAGTGTCTGCACTGCGTGTGACGGTAAATATCGCGTCTGTCTGTCCGAATCAGTTTCGTCATAAGCGAAAGCAACAAGATGGCCTCTAAAATGTAGGCATTCTCAAATGTAAACAATACGTGGTAAGTATGTTATTTGGAAACAGAGTATATCGAAGTGCTACTCTGGTTTTTTGTTTAGAATTGAAATAACCTTGTAATATTACGTAGGTCGTACCGAAAGTCATGAGCAACCTTTTTTTGCATGCAACCTGGGAACAGCAGACGAAAGAGAGTATGGTGATGGGTGGAACCAGCTGTTATGTTAACCTTGATTGTCTTGTGACGTCAATAGCTTGCATCAAGTGACCAGTATCACTCCTGACAAAATGGCCAACAACGATATGTCGTTTCGCCAGCGTGCTGTCATCGAATTTCTTGTGAAGGAGGAAATCCCTGCTGCAGAAATTCACCAGAGACTTCAGCGTGCTTATGGAAGTATGTGCATGGGTGTGAGCAGTGTTCGAAGATGGGTGAAACATTTTAAAGATGGGAACACCAGCATCGAAGATGAGCCTCTGAGCGGCCGTCCTCGAACAGCCTCAAGTGAACGCAACAAGGAAACAGTGGAGATCATTCAAGATGACAGGTGTGTGACTGTGGACACAACAGCCCGAAAACTTGGAATAGGGCACAGTGCAGTACAGGAGCCTCGGAGCGGTCGTCCTTGAACAGCCTCAACTGAACGCAACAAGGAAACATTGGATAAGATCATTCAAGATGACAGGCGTGTGACTGTGGACACAATAGCCCGAAAACTTGGAATAGGGCACAGTGCAGTACAGGAGATGATTGAAAGCTTGGGCTATAGGAAAGTTTGTGCTCGTTGGGTCCCGCGGTTATTGACCGAAGACCACAAAGGTCAGCGAAAAGTCATCACCTCAGAACTGCAGCAGAGATATCTACACGAAGGCGATGATTTTTTTCTCTGTATTGTGACAGGTGACGAAAGCTGTTTTCACCATTTCGAGCCTGAAACCAAACGGCAGAGTATGGAATGCCACCATTTGCATTCACCATCATAAAAGAAGGCAAAGACAGTGGCATCAGCTGCGAAGGTGATGAGCACAGTCTTCTGGGATGCAGAGGGGTTCATTCTGGACGAATTCCTGGAACCTGGGAAAACCATCAATGCTGCTCGTTATGTACAGACGTTGCACAAGCTCCGTCGTGCATTCCGCGATAAAAGTCCGGGGCAAAACATCATCATCTTGCATGACAACGCTCGCCACCACGCTGCTCGCCTCACATTGGAAGTAATTGCAAGGATGGGGTGGGAAGTTCTTCCACACCCCTCCTACAGCCCTGATCTGACACCCTCCGACTACCCTCTTTTCGGATTTGTGAAGGATCAGCTGCGTGGACGACGGTTTGAGACAAGGGAGGCAATTCAGAAAGCAGTGCGTCAGTGTCTGCGGATGGCTGGAACGGAATTTTACAGAAGGGGAATTTTCAAACTCCCAGAACGCTGGGAGAAATGTGTACAAAGAAGTGGCGATTATGTGGAAAAATAAAGAAAGGTCTGTAGATTGAGGTGGTGTATTTGGTTTGTCAATAATAAAGCATAGTACTTTACAAAAAATTGTTGCTCATGACTTTCAGTACTACCCTCGTATAACAAGCATTTCCGACCAGAACGCATAAAGCTTACGTTCCTGTTGCATAGATTCCTGCTTTCATATGTATATTACTCGTAAAATAACTTGTTGTTTGATTTTATTCCTTTGAAGAACCTCTTACTGAACTTCAGAAGTTGTCTTCACAGAATTTGTCGTATGGCACCTCTGAGATTTGCACCCTCTCCGTGCTTGTAATTACTGAATTACGAACAATTCTTCAAACATAATACATAGGAGTTTTTGTGATGTATCTCTGCACCAGATTTTACGTGTCTGGTTCCAGTGATTTGTTAGCTAACTCCACAAATCGCAAAGTTAACGAAAAATGTACATACGGACATCGTGTTTGCATTTCACATTTTACATACTAAACCTCAATAAAAGTTTTTATGTTTCTTTTTTCTTACGGTACATGATTTCATAATCCTAACTTAAGCGTCGCTAGCATCTCACAAATTAGCCCACCCACCCACCACATTTTTGTTAATGGTTACAAGGAATTATGGAGTAAGACGTCAGGGTGCCCGCCGATAACATACCGTCACGTATAAAGGGTTGCGTGACTAAAAATTGCGGGCTATAGATTGGATGATTGGATTTATTGGACGTCTCTGTTACAATTGCACTTGATTATAACAGCTCACACATTGAACTCCTCCGTGATAACTGTCAGATGAATCTTGAAATGGTCTCTAACCTCTAGTCTTCTCCTCAGTACGACTGAATGGATCTTTCGAATTCAGGAATGCACCGCCCTTCATGACCTCGGAAGAACCGAATAGAGACCACCACCCGAACAGTTCGACTTTTTGTCTCATGTCCCGTTGTAGCGGAAACGCCTGGTGATCCTAAGTTTCCCCGTATGCACGGAACCTCTGTTAAATCTTTGTTCACATGAGAATGCGTTGTAATGAGCCGTTGCCTAGCAAACAGTCATATTCTTCACATATTCCGGCTTTCAGGCGTCACGTCATAATATCATTCATGCTAAGTTTCGTGAAACTCTGTCACTTGGTTCAAAAGTCTTAAGTGGGAACGTGGAAGCATATGTATGCTCGGCATTCTGATCTCTAAGTATACTTCCCCCCCCCCCCAGAGGAAGGAAAGTAGAATGCTGCTAACAGAGTCGTAAAATGTAAACAAAAGAGTCATTTATCCTGAACGGCTGTGGGAACCAAGTTTAGCGGTTTCAACGGAAGACGGATCAGTTTCGAGCCTTTAGGTCGTACCTCGGAGCTGCATCGCTGTTCGCCGTACACCAGCGAAGTTTTCCGCTCCACATCGCCGAGCCAGACGAAGAGAGAGGGAGAAGGTCCCGGCGTATGCGTCCAGCTTTCAATTACGACAGCATTTTTAAATGCACATGGAGAACAACTTAAAGATATTACGCCAATGGACAGCTTTGTAACTGGCAACTGAATTGAATAACCCGGACTTCCGCATTTAAACATTTCATTGAAAGCTTGAAAAACGTCAAGAAAATTCTGGTGTAATTTCCTGACTGTGCGTCACATTAGCCATAATGAAAAATCCTTAAGGGAAAATATTTAGACGTGACGATAAGGGAACAAAAATTATAGAAATGTACCTAATGAGGTAGAAATATTCATCACTGGCTCGACAGCCCAGGGTGGGCCTTGGCCTTCCTCAGAAGCCTATGCCATTCCTCCCTTTGCATAACCACATCCCTGGATGTCCACCACCTGGATTACTCTACAGCAAATGCGGGGAAATTGCTACGAGTGAATGTTGCAGCCTACACGAAAATCAGACTTGTAGACCGAATTGATCCACATGTGCAAAGGTACCCGAAGGCATGAATAAAAACTACATGAAACGTATTTATCGGCTAGTAGGAAGAATATTTTTATCTGAAACATATGCAAGCTAATCTACGTTGAAAATGGGGACGGACGTTTACTCATCATTCGTTGAAACCAAAAAAATTCTCACAGAAGTGTAGGAGGTACCAACAGTGGACTTGCACCGCGCGCTGTCGACAGCATTGTGGCAGTGCGCGCGTTACTCACAGTGGCGCCAGTTGGTTCAGCTGATCCAGGACACAGGTGGCGAAGCTGTAAGCTGTCCCCGACTTCACGGCAGTGTATCTTCAATAAACAGACGTGAATGTGAATTCTGCATGTGAAAGTGTATAGGACGCGTACTGCTTTGAATTAAACCTTCACGGCCTTGTTGATTTTTATGTGGGGTTCCGTCAGTATTTTCCGTCAACAAAAGCTTTCGCAGTCGAAAATGTTAGGAAGAATTACTCAGAATGAAGATGTACTGTTATCGGCTATCTGTATATGTAAATAGCTCCCTGCCGGAACTTCATGCTGTTTTTGTTAGCTAACGTTCTTTTTTAGAAATTTCGCAGAACAGTGACTACTCCGTCATTCAAGTCGTTATTAACTTACGGATGGAGTCTTTAACAATTTATTGACACTTGCAATTAAAAATGTTATGTTGCATCAGGTGATAGAATCATTACGAATAATGAACTAAAAACTCGGAAGGAAACGCCTATTTTAAGGTATAGTCATTAAAGTTTCATGACGGGTCGTAGCAAACCGCGACAAACTTTTTCAGGGAGGCCTGTTGCTGAACCGATATTCGAACCCGGAACTTTCCGTTTGAGTTTCATGTACTTATGAAAGCAGAAATTCTGAACTTTCATTCCCGAGGCTCTATGCGCCTATGTCCTGAAATGTTGACCGTTCTAAGTAATATATAAATATTTATTACGTACCTCATAGGAAACACATTACGTCTCCTCTACAAATACTAACCGGTTAATGCTGTTTAAGGGGGAAAATGCTGTTTTGTTGTGAGAACAATACGAAACACAGAGGTACACTCTATGGGCAGAATGCAGAAGCTCAGTATGTTAAAGCAGGAGGTGCATATAGTAGCCATTGGGCTCTAAAGTGTGAAATAGGAGACTGGATGGGCCCCGGTGACGGTCTGGTTGCCCTGCTAGAATCAGAACCATGATGCCACAGCTTTCCAGCAGTCAAGATTCATATTTGAAGGACTTTATCCCAAAGAACCAACCATTCGGTACGTGGCTGGGTGGGCCCCAGAACT